CATCTAAATTGCGCTTTTGATCAAAAACCCAACCAAACCACGTCCGAATGACATGAAATTTTGCACACACATCCCAAATGACACAACGAAACTAATGCAACTCTTGGAATTCCATTCCAACCCCTATATTAAAATCTCACCTATCAACCGGAAAATGCCAAAAACACAATTTCGCCAATTCAGGCCTAAATCTACTCGGACCTCCAAAACACATTCCGATCACGCTCCTAAGTCCCAAATCACCTAATGGAGCTAACCAAATCATAAAAATTCCAATCTGAGATCATATACTATCAAGTCAAATCTTGGTCAAACCTTTCAAATTTTAAGCTTCAAACTGAGAACTGTTCTTCCAAATTCATTCTGATCACCCTGAAAACGAAACCAACAATTTATATAAGTCATAATACACTACATGGGGTAAGTCAAGCAAGAGAACTGGCGAGCAAAGTGCAAAAGCTCAAAATGACAGGTCGGGTCGTTACATCTTCTCATGGAGCTTCAACTGACGAGAAGCATAAGCAATCACTCTACCCTCCTGCATCAACACACACCCAATACCAACTCTAGAAGCATCGCAATATACCGTATATGAACCTGAAGCTGATGGCAAAACTAATACTGGAGTTGTGGTCAAGGTAGTCTTGAGCTTCTGAAAGCTCGCCTCACACTCATCCAACCACCTGACAGGAGCACCCTTTTGAGTCAATTTGGTCAAGGGTGATGCAATAGATGAAAATCCCTGAACGAACCGACGGTAATAACCCGCCAACCCAAGACTGCGAATCTCTGTGGCTGAGGACGGTCTGGGCCAACTCTGAACCGCCTCTATCTTCTTCGGATCAACCTGGATACCCTCACTGGACACCACGTGCCCCAAGAAAGCCACTGAAATGAGCCAAAACTCACACTTGTAGAACTTTGCATAAAGCTTCTCCTCCCTCAACCGCTGCAATAAAGCTCTCAAATGCTCGGCGTGCTCCTCCTGACTACGCGAGTATACTAGAATATCATCAATGAATACAATAACAAACGAGTCGAGATAGGGTCGAAACACGCTGTTCATCAAGTGCATGAATGCTGCTGGGGCATTGGTCAGCCCAAAAGACATCACAAGGAACTCATAGTGATCATATCGGGTCCTGAAAGCTGTCTTAAGAATATCTGAGTCCCTGATCTTCAACTGGTGGTACCCTGACCTGAGGTCAATCTTGGAGAACACTCTCGCTCCCTGAAGCTGGTCGAATAAATCATCAATACGAGGAAAACGATACTTGTTCTTGATTGTGACTTTGTTCAACTGCCTGTAATCAATGCACATCCTCATAGTGCCATCCTTCTTCTTCACGAATAGGACAGGCGCACCCCATGATGACACACTAGGCCGAATAAACCCCTTATCAAGGAGTTCCTGAAGCTGCTTCTTCAATTCCTTCAACTCTGTCGGTGCCATACGATACGGTGGAAGAGAAATGGGCTGAGGGCCCGGCACCAGATCAATACCAAAGTCAATACCCTTGTCTGGTGGCATGCCCGGCAGGTCTGCAGCAAATACATCTGGAAAATCCCTCACCACCGGAACTGAATCAATGGTAGGAGTCTCTGCATTGACATCCCTCACGAAGGCCAAGTAAGAAAGACAACCCTTCCCAACCATCCGTTGGGCCTTCAAAAATGAAATCACCCTACTGGGGACATAATCCGTCGACCCTCGCCACTCAATCTGTGGCACACCCAGCATAGCCAGCGTTACTATCTTGCATGACAGTCCAAAATAGCACGACACGGAGATAACTAATCCATGCCCAATATCACATCAAAATCCACCATACAAAGCAACAGAAGGTCCACCCGGGTCTCCAAACCCCCAATAGTCACCACACACGACCGATATATGCGGTCCACAATAATAGTATCGCCCACCGGAGTAGATACACGAACAGATAAAACAAGAGACTCACGGGGTGTATCCAAATAACGAGCAAAATATGATGACATATATGAAAAAGTGGAACCAGGGTCAAATAACACAGAGGCATCTCAGTGGCAGACTAAGACAATACATGTAATCACAGCATCTGAAGCAATAGCATCTGGTCTGGCTGGGAGTGCATAAAAATGGGCCTGACCACCACCTGATCGGCCTCCCTCTCTATGGCGACCCCTGGCTGACTGACCTCCACCCCGAGCTGGCCGAGTGGGTGGCGAAGTAACTGGTGCTGAAGCCGAAGGCTGAATCCTCTACTGGGAGGAACCTTCCGTAAGATGGGGACAAAACCTCTTGATATGACCCAAATCTCCACACTCGAAACAACCTCTACCGGCCGCTGGCAATGGGGACTGAAAGGAGCCCCTAGCACCGCTTTACCCACTATAAGAACTAGGCATAGATAAACCTTGAACCGATGGTGCGTGAGTCGAACTCTGAGCTGGAAGGGCATTGAGAGATGAGTGACCCCGATGTGAACTGTGAGAACCATGGCCAGATAATCCACCACGGTGACCCGGACGAGCTGACTGAGCATGTCTGAATGGACGGCCCCTGCCGTGCTGGAACTGACCCCTAGAAGGCACACTACCAAAGCTACCAAATCCCCGAGGCCTCTTGGCCTCCCTCTCAACTCGCTCCTGGTGGCAAACTGACTCAATCTCTCTGGCAATGTCAACTACCTCTTCAAAAGAAGCGCCAGATACCCTCTCTCTGGTCAGAAATATCCGTAGCTGATAAGTGAGGCCATCAACGAACCTCCTGATCCTCTCCCTATCCGTGGGAACCAGCCAGGTAGCATGACGGGCCTACTCAGAGAATCTCATCTCATACTGCGTCACGGTCATATCCTCCTAACACAACTGCTCGAACATCCTGCACAGCTCCTCTCTGCAGGAATACGGTACATACTTCTCTAGGAAGAGAATGGAGAACTGATTCCAAGTAAGGGTCGCTCCACCAACAGGCCTACGTAAGCCTCCCACCAAGCGAAGGCAGCTTCAGAAAACTGAAAAGTAGTAAATGAGACCCCACTAGTCTCCAGAATACACGCTGTACGAAGAATCCTCTGACACTTCTCCAAGAAACCCTGGGTATTCTCGCCCTCTGCCCCACCCAAAGTCGAAGGCTGAAGTCTACCAAACCTCTCCAATCGACGCTGCTCGTCATCAGACATAACTAGTACCACATAATCCAGAGTAGGTGCAACCGGCTGGACTGGTGGTGCCTCCGGTGTCTGCAATCCCTGAACAACCTGCTCGGGTGTACGAGCGGCGGGAGTCTGAGTGCCTCCCCCGGCCTGAGAAGTAGCTGCTGTAGTAGAAACTGCGACCGCCTGAGCAAGACTAGTGCACACGGTCAAGATCTGAGCCAAGGTCTCCTGAAGACCTGGAATAACAATAGGCACAGTCGATGCCTGAGCTGGTCCTGCTGGAGCATCCCCCACTAGAACCTGATCATGAACTAGGGCGGATGATGGATCTGCATGTGCTGCCCTATCTGCTGTGCGGGCGACACCCCTGCCCCTACCACGGCCTCGATCGCGACCTCGGCCTCTAGCGGCCCTAATTATTGGTACTGGTGTTCATTCGTCCTGACCGGTAGCACGTGTCCTCACCATCTGTAAGAGAATAGAATAACAGAAGTTTAGTACTAGAATCAACAGATTCGCACGACAAGAATTCAAGAATGTGAAGTTCTTCCTAAAGGTTCTGCAGCCTCCCGAAGATAAGTACAGACGTCTCCGTACCGATCCGCGAGACTCTACTAAACCTGCTCATGACCCCTGAGACCTATGTACCTCACTACAAGAAAACGGGTAAATTGCGAAGGTTTATTTGCGGAGGTTATAACTAACCCCCGCAATTTGCATAATTTTGTAGCAATATATTAGCCCCACAAAAATATACAATTTACGGGGGTCTAAAACCTTCGCAAAATTATACAATAATAGCGGGCAATATATTTCACATTCCCTCCTTTTTTTCCCCAATCTTTTCAGAAATTCCGCCTTTCCCAATTTTACTTTGATTTTTACTCTTCTTCCGCCTTCCTCTTACAATTTACGGGGCTCTCTTCTTTCTGCTTGCCTTCTTCTTCCATGAATCCCTAACTCATTGTCCAAATCATCAAATTCTTCTTCTTCATCATCCCCTTCAACTCACCGTAGTAGTCAACGGAATCTGGAACGACGAGAATGAGTTGGAGTTCAGTCTCCAGCAATAGCATAGCTTCTTCTTCTCAAAGTAATTACTTTTGGAGTTTCAAAGTAATTTCTTTTGGGGTTTTAAGAATATAATTTGCCCAAAACCCTCCGTCTCACTCCTGTCTCAGCAAGAACACCAAGAAGTAGAGAAGCTAGAAATCCCTAATTTGTTCATACTAGTATAAGGTAAGTATATTCCATTTTTATTTACTGTTTCTTCGTTTTCTAAGGTAGATTTCAGTTCAGATTCGTTAGGGTTTTGGGAGATGGTCTGCTTTCTGAATTTGAGGATTCCTTTCCTGCTCTTAGCCAAAAGAATAGATAAATTAAGGTTCATATGTCTATCAGTATTATTTGCATTTGCATTTCTATTTGCTTAAAGATCCCTTTAATAAATTCATAAGTCGAATTATTAAATTAAATACCGTTTTCCCCCAAAATCTGGAATATAAAATACATTTCTAGTTTCAAGTATTCCATCTTTTAGTGTTAAGTGGGCTTATGATATGCTAACATATATAATAATTAAAATCTGTTAAAACATATAATAAAATGTAGAAGAAATGGAATCAATAACTAGTTTTAGAGGGAAAAGCGAATAAAACAAAGGGCAGATAACTATGTAAAACAAATGTGCTAATTTGTGAAGTGGGAATTATCGATTTTCTTATTTATTTTATTCTCACATGGCATGTTAATTTTTTTTTCCCTGTGCACCAGTTAATAATGATCTTACAAAGAATTTAATAATACATGTGCATCAACAATGTCCTTTTACCTACTTCACCAACATGTTTCGGGCTCAAGATGTCGGCGAAAAGGAAAGGAAAGAAAATCAGAGGGATATTTGGGAGAGAAGGACTAGTTAGATATGCAAGAAATTTAGGATATTCTTTGTACTATGGTACCTACAAAAAGGGTACTAGGGTAAAGTTGTAAATGTATATGTGATTGGGTGAGGAAGAGTAATACAAATATTCCCATTTATAAATACAAAGAAAAGATTCAAAAGTATACTAATTTGCAAATGATGTGTGGTCATTTGCATATAAATGCAGCTGCTATTGGGAGGCTATTATTAAAGCCACATTCTCAGAAGTAGCATTAATGTCAGAGTTTTCTGCTAGTTGAAGCACTTGAAAATATCCAACAGATCATTAATGAACTTCTTTCCTTCTTCAGAAGTAGGAATAATATAGGATAGCATGCATCTCCCAGTTTTCTGTTCTTAGCTTGATAAGCCACATTTAACTATTGATACATTGATTGCAGCACACTTTTAAACATTCTAGTCTTCTGCATTTGCATGTTATTGTTGGGAGATATGACTATGACTATGCAAATGCATTCTTTATTATGGAAATTTCAAGTTTGGTAATGTTTATGATTATATATGGCTTTTGTTGTATGTATTTATTGCTTCATAGTTAATATTCTATATTCTAATAATAGAGAACTGATATTTTCTCTTTATATTTTTATTTATTAAAGATTCACATGGAGATACCAAAAGGCTCAAATTGAAGACTAGGGAAGCATTAAGTTTACCTCAGGGAGAACGTGTTGTGGTGGAGTTTGATTGCTTGGATCCGATTGGCGAAGCACAAGGTCTTCTTGCAGGCGTATGTAGCATTTTAGCAACTGACTGTACCATATTTCCAATTGGCTTTGATAAATGGCCGGATATGCCTAAGTCATACATTAACGATTGCTTTAATAACATTATAAAGGTATAAGTTCTATATCTTTATAACTATATCTCTATTTTGTCTTTTATTTTTATATATTTATATAAAAGATAAACTAACCACTATGATACTGATAATTACTCAAAATTTATTTTTGAAGCCTCATTTCTGTTTTATGACCATTGAGGAAGATGCACAAGGATATGTTTATCGCTTTATTTCAAAGAAGTGGGCTGCAAGTAGGCAGAAGTTGTGGGATGAGTTTAAAGACCCACTTAAAACCAAAGATGAGATTATGGATAATGTTCCGGTAGGTATTACTCGGGATCAATGGACTTCCTTTGTGAACTACCATTATAAAGAAGAAACTCAGGTATTTTTCTGAAACGTCACATTGAAATGCGTAAAAATATGATTATTCATTTATATAATAGACTGAAATGTATCTTATTATTAGAACATGTGTAAAAGAAATGCTGAAAATCGGAAGAAACAAACAGTTCCACACACCGGTGGCTCCAAACCTAATTCTAGAAGAAGGGCTGAAATGGTGAAAGATGTTATATTATTTGCCTTACTTTACTATTTTAATTTTAGATATTGTATCTATTTTTTTTACTTTTATTAAACTATTCTAACTTATTTTAGTTTTCATACATAGATGGCTGAGACAGGGAGTAAGCCTGGACGAGCACAACTTATAAGCTACACATACGAAACAAGATGGATCGTATGTAAATGAGGAGGCAAAAGAAATATGTGTAAGTTACTACTTTGAGAATTCTGAGAATTAGCGCATTTTAAGCACTTGCTCATGCAGCTAAAAGAGTACCAGATAATGTTGTTTTCAGAATTTTGCAACAGTTATTTTCATCTCAATACACCATTCTCCCAACTCATGATGTTTGATTCCAGGCATGCGTCTAACAGATTCGCAAGTGATGTTGTTATCTTTGATATACTTGTACATTTTGTAAGCTGAGATTTTGCTGTCATTTAAAAGTTAGATGCAAGGATTTTGGCTGAACTTCATATGATCTATATTGTCTTATATGTTTTCTAGCAGATCTCTTGTCTTAATGATAGAGTCCAAACAAGACCAAAAGCTAGATTCACCCTATAGCTACTAAGAACAAAAGAGTCAACCATTACCCTTCAGTGCGTTAGTCCTTCAAAATTAGTATTCAAATACGATAAAAAGTATTTCGTAGGAGTAAATAATAATGATTGGTAAATTTCCCAAACCTTTGAACTTTCAGGTGACCCCTTTTGGCTATTAATTTGTTCGAGTTATACCTTTGGCTCTTCTAAAGCTCATGTTTCGATAATATTTTTCAACATACTTCTCTATGCCTTACTTAATGTTTTGATCATTACCATTGCTTGCCTTTTAACCTAGAGAAGATTTCCTTGATACTAAGAGTACAAGACATTGTAGATCCTCCGTCATGTTTCAATTCTATATTTTTATGCCTGCTAAATTGCTAGAGCATTACATATGAAAGATGACAGTTTTATATCCTCTGAGCATATTGTATCAAGGCTCTAATATTTCCTGTATTATTTTGAGTTTTTGGAGATTCAGAGATGTCTAGACTGATCTTTTTTCTTCAGTTGTTGTATCTTCTATTTTTACTTAGTTTGTTCTATGTGTTGTGCATGAAACCCCATCTTAAGAATGCCTGGTTTGGATTAATGTTTACAGGCAATTGTTAATTCTAGTTAATAGATTTTTTTGATGTGTATTGTGTTTAGGAAAAAGTTGCGCTAGCAACGAGTGAAAGTATAGTGGATGAGTCTGAAATTTCTCCAAATGATGTTGTTGGTAAGGTGCTAGGCAAAGAACATCCTGGAAGGGTGAGATGTTTGGGATTAGGAGCTACTCCAAGCAATACTTTCAGAGAGACAAATCTTCGTCCTGGTAATATTAGAATTGTGAGTAATGTTGGATGTTCTTCTTCTGGATGCCAAGAGAAGTACAATCAATTAATGAATACTCTCAAAGCATACATGATAATGAAGGAAGGGTCAACACCAGAACAATTTGCTGGGATCTTTGATTCTACTCCTACAACGGTAAATGCTAAGTTCTTTTATTTTTTGTGTAAGGAAAGAACTTGTTTTGGTTTCATAGTACAGCATTTGGATTTTGGCATCAATGTTGTTTGCAGTAGACAACATATATTTTAGCATCCTTGTCCCGTTTCATTCTTTTTTGTTGGTTTAAGCAGACAACATATATTTAATCTCAATGACTTGTTTCCTGACACTCCTCTTAACACTTGTGTTTTTTTTAATACTTTTGCTGCAGCCAAATGATGCAGCTAGTGGACCCATTTCACCGACGGATGCAAGAAGATCTTCTGGCGCTAGTAATCCCAGTGACCATTGAGATTCATTTTAATTGAAGTGGATGTATTAGGACAATGTAATAGCTGACTAATATAGACGGTTAACTATGTTCTAATTTAGCTTGATGACATATGATACTACTCTATCATAGTATTTTTCACGGTTAATGAAATGTTGATGTTTCTTAATTTTAATGTTTTGGTTTAAGCATAAATATTTCAATTGATATTAGGGAAAGGGTATGGCAAATTGATGATAAAAAATCAATTCTATAATATATTTAAAAATAGATGTGGATAATTAAAATCCCCAAAGAGAAATTGATCGGATCCAATGGTGTACACATAAGGAATTGCGGGGGTCTACAACCCACACACTCAAAAAAAATATTAAATTTTAAAAATAATAATCTATTTTCGCGCATGAAATTGTGGAGGTTAAAATTGCAGTTTGCGGAGGTTAGAAACCTCCGCTATTTGCTGTCACGGCGGTTCCGAAAACTCCCGCATTTATTTGCCGCAAATTAATAGTGGTGATGCTTACTGCGGGGGTCTGCTCAACCGCCGTGACAGCAAATAGCGGAGGTTTATAACCTCCGCAAACTGCAATTTTAACCTCCGCTATTTACCCATTTTTTTGTAGTGCCTAGACTCTGATACCAACTTGTCACGACCCCAAAATCGACCCGGTTGTGATGGCGCCTATTGTGAAACTAGGCCAGTCGACACGTTTCTAAAATAGTTGAACATTTCATTTAAAGCTTAAATAATACCATTTTTCAACTGAAATCCAATTAAAGACATAAAGTCAAAACCAAAATAAAAAATAAAAGCCCGACCTCAGGTGTCACTAAGTCATGAGCGATACTACATTTGTTCCGCAACACAACTAGACCAAAATAGTCTGAAATATCCAAAATATACTAGAAGGAAGATAAAGAAGTAGGAAGGCGGGACTGCGAACGTCAGGCAGCTACCTCGCTATCTCCGGTGAAATCCGCGTCTAGAATAGTCAACAGCCGCTATCGTGGCTTGAGATACCTGGATCTGCACACAAGGTGCAGGGGGTAACGTGAGTACACCAACTCAGTAAGTAACAAGTCCAAACAATGGACTGATAGGTAGTGACGAACTAAACCTCAGCAATTATAACACATTAAAGTTGTACAGGAAAGTAAGCATGCTAGCAATTCAATATTTTTAACTTGACAGCAATGAAAAGCTCTAATCCGAACAATGTGAAGTATAAAACTCAGTAAATCTCTACGTATCAATGCCAGAAATGTATGAAAATGCACCATGTGCTCCCACTCTCAAGTGCTCAACCAGTCGGTACTGCATATGGCCATCCGGCCCAGGGAAATCCATCCAGAACATATACAACGTTGACTACAAGTCATCCAGTACCGACGAACAAGGGTAATCCAACCCTGAGGAGAAATCCATCTCCAGGTATATAGGTATACACACTCTACCACTCGGTACCGTATATGGCCATCCGGCCCAGGGAAATCCGTCCCAAAACATACTCAACAATGACTAGACGTCACTCGGTACCGATGAATAAGGGAAATCCATCCCTGTGGAGAAATCCATCTCCATATGTCAATACTTCGGACAAATCCATGTCCAGGGAAATCCATTCCTCAATAATATCATCCGCGCTCACTGGGGGTGTGTAGACTGCGGAGGGGCTCCTTTCAGCCCAAGCGCTATAACAAGCCAATGAAGGCATAATCAATAATCTGTTGTGGTGTGCAACCCGATCCCATAACTGTCACTCAAATTCAGGCTCTCGGCCTCACTCAGTCATAACTCTCTAGTCTCACACACGCAAGCTCACAATACCAAGAAACTAGCCCGAAACAATGATATGATGTGCCAAATAACAATAACCGAGACTGAGATATGATATTATATGCATGGACAAGACTAAGTACACAATATCAATGAAGCTAATGATATGACAGCAAGAAAGGACCTCTCGGGTCTCAATAGTACCGGCGTGAAGCCTTAACATGGTAATTAGCATGATTTACAACTCATTAACTTAGTCACATAATCACTACACAGGTATCAGCAAGAAAGAGTCACTAAGCGGTGCCATGGAATGATCCAGGCCGCAATCCTCATGGTACATGCCCACATGCCTGTCACTTGGCATTTGCGTCACCTCAATGTTTAATCATAAAACACATAGTTTGGGGTTTCGAACCCTCAGAACCAAGTTTGGAAGCGTTACTTACCTCAAACCAAGCCAAAACTCTAACCTGCGATGCCCTTGCCTCTCGATTTGGCCTCCAAATGCTCTGAATCTAACCAAAATCAGTATATTAACATCTATATACGCTAAAGGAATGAAATCCACACAAAAATTATCAAATTAGACCCAAAATCCCGAAATTGCTCAAAGCCGCCCCCCCGGCCCACGTCTCCAAATCCAACAAATATCGCAAAACTAGAAACTCCTTTCACTCCTAAGTCTATACATACCAAAATTATCAAAATCGGACCTCAAATGGTCCCTCAAATCCCCAACCAAAGCTCTCCAAAACTCAAGCCCGAACCCCTTCACTTCTCTTCAAATTCCCACTAAATTCCATGATTAGATAGTGGAAAAATCATCATAAACACAATTAATAAAGCCCAAGTAACTTATATCACTGAATCCCCTCGATTCCCTCTTGAAATCACTGCTTGGAGCTCCAAACTCGTCCAAAAATGGTGGAAAAATGGCTGAAATTCGCGAAGGGGAACTTATATACTTTTTGCCCAGAACTTCTGCATCTGTGGTCCTAATCTCGCACCTGCGCAACCGCTTCTGCAGTCCAACCAACCTCACCTGCGGTTTCCACTTAAACGTCCAGGACCGCATCTGCGCCCCAGTCAGCGCACCTGAGGGGCCGTAGAGGCATCCAACACACCGCATCTGTGGTTCTTCTCCTGATGGCCAAATTACGCATCTGCGATCTCCATATCGCATCTGTGACCACGCACCTGCGGTCCCCAATCCGCGGGTGCGGAAATGACAAATACAGCAAATTCAGCAGCATCAACTCAATGCCAATCTTTCCGGCAACCACCCAAATTCCTCCCGAGGCCCTCGGGACCTTAACCAAACATGCCAACAAGTCACATATCGCCATTCAAACTTAGTCAAACCTTCGGAACACTCAAAACAACCTCAAAATACCAAATCACCCTCGGTTTCAAGCCTAAGGATTTTCAAACTTACGAATTTCGCAAACGATGCTGAAACCTATCAAACCTCACCCGAATGACCTGAAATTTTGCACACACGTCACAAATGACATAACGGACCTACTCCAATTTCCAGAATTCCATTCCGACCCCGATATCAAGATTTCCACTGCCGACCGAAAAATGCCAAATTTCTAATTTCTCCAATTCAAGCCTAAATCTACCACGGACCTCCAAATTACATTCCGAACACGCTCCTAAGTCCAAAATCACCTAACGAAGCTCTCCGAACCATCAGAATTCACATCCGAGATCTTCTACATATAAGTCAACATCCGGTTGACTTTTCCAACTTAAGCTTCTAAATAAGAGACTAAGTGTCTCATTCCACTCCACGACCACTCCGACCCCGAACCAACCAACACGATAAGATGAAATACAGCTGAAAAACACATAAAGAAGCAGAAATGGGGGAAACGGGGCTGTAACTCATGAAACGATCGGCGGGGTCGTTACAATCCCCAATCCATGCAAGGCCAATTAGGAATGGGTTAGGGAATTGTATGCCTACTTAAGGCGTTCACATTTCCAAAACCAATTACAATAAGGGGCAGATTGTAAAATTTGAAGTTGAAGTTATAAATGATGTCCATGGGCTTCAAAATAATCCGCTCGAGCCAATGCGAGAAGAGATACATGTGACAATGGTAATTGGCTAGTCTCAAAGCTTTACCCTACAAGTCAAACAGTGACTTGGGCTAAAAAGAAAAAAGGCATCAAATGTGGTGATTTCACAGCTGAAGCAAAAATGTGGTTGTATATTATTGTGAGCAGAGTATCTCCTTGTAGGAACGTGTCTGATGTCACATATACTGGGGCCCCTATAATTGCTTGCATCCTTGATGGCATTCCAGTGAATGTTGGTCACTACATCATTCAGGAGCTGAAGGAGTATGTGCTTCAAGGTGTCTCGACATTGATTTTTCCATCATTGATTACAGAATTATGCTGGGATTAACAGGTTAAGAAATGGGATGGAGATCACTTGATACCGACGAACAAGCTCTTTCACCCATTGAGAGTGACAGGAGAAGGCAGTATGGTAAAGATCAAGAAGAGGAAAATGATATTTCTATAGGTGAGGGATCCTCCTCATAGGCTACTCAAGCCGAGCGACCCTTTGGGATGCTAAATTCCCAGCTTGCCTCCATTTGTGACTTAGTGTCATAGCTCCCTAGTGGGCCCTCAGACTCCGAGCCTATGCCGAATATTTTACCAAGGAAGAAATGAAGACCTACATGGAGGTCCAGAAAAAGCAGGCAGAGTCTCACGAGAAATTGGCAATTTCTATTGGTAGGTTCAGGGCAGCCTATAGCAATTGGCCAAGGCACATGTAGATCTTCAGGCGGACTACAAAAAGGAGAAAGAGAGAAATAAGAAGAAGGGCAAGTTCATGATTAAGATGTGGGTAGGCATCAAGTCCATCTTCAAGTGAGGCACCCGAACAGGAAGATACCGGTCGAGGACGAAGATGATAGTGAATAGTATTCCTTCTTGTCGAGTCCTATTGATGTTGGTACCGATGCTACCGATGATGATGAGGCCGAGAGCTCTACACGCCAGTGATTGGCCTTTTCCCGCAGTATACTAGTTTGATGCAGACCTCAGGGAGACCCTCAAACTAGTCTTATTTTATCTTGATATTGTGCAGTGAGGACACTGCATCGTTTTTAGTTTGGGGTGTCTTTAGGGAGTATACTTTATTTGTACATTGATGCTTGACTTGTGCCCTTGCCGGACTTATGCTTTTGTATGGATATTGTGTGCCCTTGCCGGGCTT